GGTCAGCGTTTTGTATTGTTTAACATATTTCATATTTTTATCCCCCCCTTTTTAAGTGCAAGAGCTAAGGATATCATGGTACGCTGTGCACGCTGTGCACGCTGTACTATCTTCCTTAACTTGTTTCATGGATAAAATTACAACGTGACTGTAAAAGTACTAGTAACGGTGTACGCAACCGATTTTGATTCTCGGTAATGACGAAGATGTATATCTATGTCGGTAACATGAATACCTTATACATTGCCATAAGAAACAGTGTGACAAAATTAATATTTTATTCGTAGCCACTTAGCTCACACAAAGAGTTATGATCACTGAAATAATAATATATGTATACAAAGATCTACAACGGAGAGCAGACTGGCAGGATTCTCAAATCAAGAAAAAATAGTCCACTGTAAAATGCAATAGACACACAGTCGCTGCGGGCTCAACAATTTAAAAATCCTCTGAATAATACTTTAAAGCATAAGCAATTAACAGTACCCACAAACAAATCTTTATATTGTTATTTAACATTTGACCTTTTATATCCATGACCTTAATTTTGCGCGAGACAACTTAACTCAATATTTGTGTTAAGTTATATTAAAATCGATTTATGTAATAGAACTTATACTCGCAAATGATTTATTTAGTTTGTTATTTGACATTGACCCCTGAGTGTTACCCTGACTTTTGCCACAGACACAGTCCGCCTCCATATGGAGAATATTTGTCCCAATCTATATTAAAATCCCTCCATGCATGTAGAAGATTCGCACCGGAAACGGGGTTTGCGCTGCCCCCAAGTGTCACACTCAATTACTCAAGATGTCACCTCTGGAAACTTCCTGTTTGCGGTGTTTTGCATAATGAATGTTCCATGTGATTCCCCTTTTTTGCTTTTGTTTGAATTTATCAAGCCTCTGACCTATGACTGGATAATTAACACTAGTCTTATAATTAATACTAGTAAATGAAAACCACTTTGTGAACACATTGGTGGATGATTAAAGGTTCAAAATCGGCACCGGAAGTTATCCGCTTGAAAAAATAACATTAGTGATCTTCCTTATTTTATCGTGATAGAACCGAAATAACATCCGCCTGAGATTTCGTTTTGATGCGAAAAAATTAACCACTCAGGCCTTCGGCCTTCGTGGTCAATTCCTACGCATCAAAACTCCAAACCGGTGTTAAATAGCCGATAAACACCTCTCAGGCCGATGTTATTTCTTAATTTTAAAATGGTCCGTCGCCTAATATATCTCACGAGCTGTGTTGTCATTTTCAAGCAAACATTCTGTTTAGAATTTTCCTACCTTTGAAATCTGTCAAAGGATTTAATAAAATCATGTTAAATTCATGTTTTGTTGAAAAACTATAAAATAACTTTGCTGTTCAAAAAGGGGAATGTTACGAATATTTATTAGAATTAAGAATTTATCTGGTGTGCTTTTGACAAAAGTGCATTGTTAAATATTTGCTCAGTACCCATCACAAGATATTCCACAGCTAAAATTCTATATATAAAAAGTAAAACCCCAGACCTAGCTAAGTATGTAGGAGCAAAGGTCTATATAAAACAAGGTCTGCTATTCAGTCTTAGGCCTGCTTTATGTTTCCCATAACACTTCAAAACATTGTGAATAAAATAAATTTTGTTTTGTTTGTTTTGGGTTTTAGGTCACATCGACACAGTATAGGTCATATCGCGACATTCCAGCTTTACTGGTGGAGGAAAACCTCAGGTGCCCGTTCGTGCATTATTTCAGATACGAACTGGTACCTGAGTAGAACCACCGACGTTCCGTAAGGTAGCTGGAGAGCTTCCTCACATGAAAGAATCCAAAGTCCCTGTCGGGATTCGAACCCACAGAGGTGAGGAATAAAATAAATAGTACTACGCCTGATTCATATGTATACGAAATAAAAAGCTTTATCCTTTAATTAGAAAAGAATACTGTTTAGTAAATGAAATTGTTTTTGAACGTTTTCTATGTTTATATGCATGGTTGGGTTAAAACGTGTGACTTATGCAATTAAAGCACACTCTAAAAATTGAAAAAGTTCATAATAAGATACAATATGAGTTACAACTTCGGAGGTACATAATTTTTTTCTTTCATTTCATTTAAACTGTATTTTTAACGGAAGTATTCATACAAGATACATCTTTGTTTTTGGTAAATTAGAATTCACATTAACTATACAGACGATGAATTAACTATTTGTTCGAGATAAAAAAAACAAAAAACACAGTACACTGCCCTGTAACGAAAACATCACGAGAAACGTCACTGTGAATGAAAATATATGTAGCAAAATCTTCAGTATAGCAATTATATAAATATTAAAAATTTCAATCAAAGATACACTATTTTGTAACCTTATTTGAGCTGATTTAACAGTAAAGAAGTGGAGTTACATTTACTGACTTTTATAGGTTATTTGCTTCAACCATTTCCAACAATAGCTTCTTCAACACTTTATATTACAAAATGTATATGTATGAACTGTAAACGTTGTAAATGTTGTTTAAAATCAAAGTCGGTTGTAAAAATGACACAAAAGTTTGTTACAATAAAACAATCATCCCACGGAAATGCTGATGGTTTCAGAATTTTATGACGGATGATATCTTAACTAATTCTCACAAACCTATGTGTTTCATTATCATTTCATTACCACGAATAAATACCTAATTTTCAACTAACTGTTACAAATTTGAACATGCATTAAAATGAATTCGTACATTGCACTATTGAGACCGCCTCCGTGGTCGAAGGGTTAGAGTCGATGACTTCAAATCAAGTTACCTCATTGGCGTGGATTCGATCCCCGGGAGATGCTTTGGTAGTTTAGCACGGAGGAAGGAAGTCTAGTACTGGTGTAACTCTCCAGGAACGATGATTAGGAAACTACCCGCCTATATGACTGAAATACTGTTGGGAAAAGGCGTAAAATGAAACAAACATTGCACTATTAAACTCGAGAAATTATTTTTTATTTTTCTTTGCAGTTATATTCAATGTTGGTGTTTAAAAAATTCTTAATAAGTTCAAAATACAAATCCATATTACAGGCCATGAATTGGTGATCCAGAATATGTTCCATTTTTTACGTTGTGCAGCTACGGTGTCCTACTTCTGATAGATCAGTTACTTCTGCCAATCATTCAAATGATTTAGAATCAGTTTCCCTAATTATTATATCACTGAATTTGATAAATACCCCGCAAAAAGAATATCATTTATTTCACATCAAGAACAACTTCAAACAGGCGCAACAGTTGATATTATTTGAATATAAACACACTGATAGAGTCAATTATTAATGAAGGTTTGTCAATGGTCAAGGTCATTTTGTGAATAACCAAATGTGAAAGTTTGTTCCTGTCCAATAATAAACCATTGGATATCAAAAACTGTAGAAATTGTTGGATCCTAAAGGTCAATGCCCTGTTAAGTCAAGGTAAAGTGAAAATTAACTTCTTAGATGGATTGTTTAAAGGGTTGTTATGTCCAAGCATGAATACACTATATCAATTTATAACAAATTTTAAAGCCAATTATAGTCTATCGGAGCACAATTTGATTTAATTACTTTAAAGGTAAATGCCACTTATGGATCAATATTAAATTGCGAAAATATTCACAAGAAGACACCATGTCAATTATTATTCTCAATGTTGTTTTACAATTGATTTAGCTGTTTATAAGGAGAAGCACACAAAGACCGCCAGACTAACAGACTAATGTTTCCAAATGCTGAAAACGTATGATAATATCTGGAATAAAATTTATCTTTCATATTTAAAATGTGTTTGATAAACAGATAAGACGGAAAATTACAACATACTATTAAATCATATTTTATCACTTGAATTTGAACTTCTGATACCATTATATACGAGTATATTTTGATCATCTATCATAGTTTATTCATAAATCAAAAGGTGTCAAGAAGGCCAGGTTGTACTACAATGGAGTGTCATCATCCCATGGATAGTTTTATTTGAAATAAGAATTTCTAACTCTTATGTTTTCGTATAATAAAATATTTTCTTAAACTATATTAACAATAATTGTTAGTTTATTTTAAATACCTAACAGTAATTTGGTTGTCCTAGAATTTCAAACTCATCTTCCTTTATGAATCTTTTCCATTTTGAGCTTGGAATTTAAATTCAAAATTATTTCATCTTACAGACTTAGTTTCATTGTTACTAATGGTCTCTAGTTGTCATAACTCACATATAATGATGTATAAGAGACAATATAGTCATGCCTATGCACCTGGCATCTTAATTGTATGAGTTGTCTTCTTTTTAACTTACCATATTGCTTTAAACACGTTATTTTGTACTATTGCGATCTTTCTACTCATAATTGTTGACAAGAAAGAAATTTCTGTTCGTATTTCATGTTCAATTTCCATCGACATGTATGAATTAATGTTTTTTATGAAATTCAAGGGATACAAGTTTACTATTTCAAGCGGCAGTCAAATTTTTAATATTAGATTACTTGTCTCAATTTTCCCGAAGTACCGGAAAATATATTATCTCTGAAGTATCAAACGAGAAACATTTTACACCTGTTTTACGATACTTGACACCTGTTGTTGTTTTTTTTGGAATGATAAGAACGGAAAACATATTACTTGAAATTTAAAGACTCGGTTTGAATAAGATAAAGTAAATATACAACACCTCTTTCTTCCATTACACTTGCTTTAGCGTTTAACACCAAACGTGTTGCAATCTTTTTCTTTATTATATTAAGAACCTTACATAATCGTTGCTACTTATTCAAGTATACCAACACTTGTATGATACCAAGAATTTCGTCATTTCGGATCAAATTCGGGTGTTATCAAAATTTGTTCCATAGGGTTGTATTTTTTCAAGTGATAAATGCATTTTAATAAAGATAACTTTGTACATATATTTAAAAGTTTTTGTTGTTGTTATCATTATTGAAATAAAATATTAATGATTGTTCTATCTTCAGAGACAATCACATATCATCCTGATCAGACAAATAATGGGAATATAAACAAATGAGATGGAACCATCGGTAATATTTATCATAACTTTTGTATTTACATTCCTTTGTAGATTACGCATAATAAATAGTTGCAAGATAATTGTTATTACTTATTTTTACCTTATAAATATGCTTGTTTGCTGACTTTGAATTATCCAAACGGAAAGTCATGGTATTTTCAAGTCAAAAGCAAGCGGACAAAATGCACGAAATGAAATATCAAACCTCTAAAACTATTCTAATAATATTCTAATTACTGTTACAGAAGAGCTGTGATGTCACTAGAGGGCATGAACACTACCTTTGTCATATATTATTACTGGAACAAGCTTCGCCCATCGCATTGAAGGCCATAATTAAAAGAGAAGAGAAAAAATATGGAAAAGATATTGGTATTTTGCTAAATGAGAATAGAGATGCGTTTAAAACCCAGTACGAAACAGAGTTTCTTCAATTAATTCAAGAAGATGATGTCAATGACGACATTGATACGTGGGACACACTTCAATTATGTGCTGTGACATTAGTTTTGTTTAAATCTGATCTAACTGAACCAGAAGTTAAAGCCATTCAATGTATATATGATCAGAGGAAAGATATTGAACAATACACCGAATGTGCCTCTTTAACATTCAATACCTACAACGAGAAACAACATTTATTGCACGATCAATTACTCGAGTTAATAACGCTCATAGACGACCAAGCTAAGCTTGATTGTAAATGTATGATGTTTTCATTTGAATCAAAATCTTTGAAATTAAGCAAAACACAGATAGACAAACTAACACAGACACATGATATCAAAACTCATCTTAACATTGCACTTGATGTAGATGTCGTAACAGAGAATGATATCATTGGCGAAGAGAACCACCAAAAGCTCCAGACCAATGGTAAGTATTTGTGTTTATATATGAATTTAATATTATTCATATGTTTACCCTGTATCCAAATACATTACTTCATGAACATGTTTGTATGCAAGTTTTTTTTTCCAAATGGTGTTAATATTAAGCTATAGCGATATAATTGATTTAGATAGCCAGGAGCGAATATAAAATTAAGTGAGCATTCATGTGTGTATATTCTAAATTTGTATTCAAAATGAGTCAAACTGATATAATACATGGTCAACCAAATGATATACAATTGAATTATATGCTATATGCAAAGTATATTATATAAATAACACATGGGTTTGTGGGTAACAGTAAAAATATCATCCCGAGGAAAATACTGTTACCCGAGGCGTAGCCGAGGGTTACAGTATTTTTACGAGGGATGATATTTTTACTGTTTCACACATTCCCATGTGTTATTTATTTTATTACCCCGAACAAATACTGTGATGATCTGAATTTGTCAACTTAATCTAATTGTAACAAAGATAAACCAAGAGTAGCAATAACTAAACTGTCCGTAACTTGCAAGTTTTAAGTGTATTGTACGCCTACTTGTGAAGCTGTTTTTTCTTTTATTCTTTAAGCAAGTGATGATTGCTACCAGTCATAAACATAAAATAAGCTGTGTTTTATTTAGAAAACGAAACACTAACCCATTGATAAGGTTATGATCTGTGAAATCTGATCATTCTGTATCCAGAATATTCTTCACATGGTTTTTGACAAAGTGCATTTATAAAATAACGATGATATTCTATAGATGTCTGTCCACGAACTCTATCTATAACGTTTCACTGGTTAAAATTGTTAAATAATCCTTTGTTGCATTCTTTAATCGTCTTCATGTTCCAGTTTGACACAACATTATTCACATTACAATTACTTCCGTTGAAAACAGATGTTTTCTTTTGACTATTCAACAAAAAGATATTTTATACGCGAAAAGAACTCTAGGGTGCAAAATTTTATGCGAGTCATAGTAACTTTTGTGATGCCCTATCGTCGAAAATGAGAATAAATCGAGAGGAAAATGGCGGCTATTTTATTTCATTTTATTTAGAAAATAGACCACATGACCAGATTTTATAGTGTTAAAAATACTGTTACGTATGTAACAGTAAAAGATTCTTAGTAACGTGGTACACTTGCATTAACAGTAAGAATAACTCCCAGAGGCCTATGGGAAATTAACATTACAAAACAGTGAGGAGTAATACCATAAAATATGAGATTGTCTTCGATTTGATAATGACACGAGCAGTATAACGCCTCGGGTAACATTATTTTTACTAGGGGTGATATTTTTACTTTTTCTCACAAAGCCATTTGTATAGAACGAATACTGCAATCATCTGAAAGCTTCAACTTAATCTACCTGTAACAGAATTGAACCAAGATTAACAATAACTCAACTGTCCTTGCCTAACAAGTTGTAAGAGGACTTAAAACGTTATTTTTCTTTTATTCTTTAAGGGATTTACCAGTCATAAACATACAATAAGCTGTGTTACATTTCCATTTCTATGGTATCCTACATCTGTCTACCACAACTGTCATGTTTCACTGATTAAATTCGTTTTTGCAGCTTTAATCGTCTGCTTGTTCCATTTTGACACATAGTTAACCCTATACAATAACTTCCTAAGAAAACGAATTTTTATTTCTTACTATTCAATAATTCAACTAAAAGTCAATTAAGACGCGAAATACTTTCAAGATGCAAATAACTAATATTTCTGTCTTTCAATACGTTATCTGGTAATGGCTCTTCGTGGTGAAAATCGAAAAATAAGAAGTTGAATAGAGAAAAACGAATTGCTTCCATTTTTGTTTTAGAAAATAAACCAAGTGACCCGATTTTATACCCTAAAAAGTACTATTATACTACCTATGTAACAGTACAAATGTCTTATGTACGTAGTTCACTTGCATTGACTGTATGAATAACTCCCAGTGACTTAGGGAAATGAACATTTCCAAAACTTGAGGGGTAATTATAAACAATAACTTGATATAGCTAAATACTAATGTTATCAACAAAATACAATATACTTCAGGCCAAAGGTTTACTGAAACACTCCAGAACAAAAATGTCTACATCAATGATTCAGCTATTTTGACATGTAAACTCAACATTCCAACAGATAAAAATGTTGAGTGGAGGAAAGATTACAAGCCGGTTGAAATGTCAAACAATATAATGGTCATGTGCAAGAATGGCAATTATTGGTTAGCGATTTCCCGTGCATCATTGGAAGATACGGGTCAATATACGTGTGTATGTGGCAATATTTCAACATCAGCTGATCTTACTGTTATAGGTATGCTTTAATCGAATTATAACAACAATGCTTGTAAATCTTTTTCAATACTTGGAAACAGATAAAGAAATAATCATACCTTACCATGGCATTCACTATTAATAACTTTCAAGTTTTTATATCAAGTAGGCAAAAATTATAATTATAACATTGAGATCTTTGATTAGGCTTTAACTTTAGTTTGATTGGCAATCTAATATTTTTTTATAATTTGTAACTAAACAGTTAAAATCGGAATAGGAAAAATCAAAACAGCAATTGATAAAGTGAAATGTAATTTTATGACAAGTACCATGGGCGAATATTAGTAACAGTTTATTCCATAACGAAAGCATAGTTGTTACTTTGATTCAATGATTTGGAAGCGTAAATATTTCTAACTTCGAAAAAAAAAACAATCTGCTAAGAAAACCTTGTTGCGACAACATTTATTTTGGGTTTCTTTGAGAACATCATTGCGAACATAAAATTGTTTGCGTCATGCAATACATTATTTTAATGTATGATTTCTTTTCAATACAAATATGTGTTTATTTTTTCATATATTGCAATATTAGATTCAATGTCGAATGATCTAAACAATTACAAATAAAGTGTGATTCGTTCAATCATCATTATCTAATTAATTTGTAACAGATGAAGCATTATGTGTTGTCGTTGATATGCCTGCCAATATTGAGGTAACTGAGAATAGAAACATTGATACAGAGTGTAAGGTGAACCTACTTACGAGTAAACCTGTTTGGCGATACAAAGGGGAAATTCTACAATCATCTGGTAGAAAGGTTATACTAGCAAAGGGCTCTACACACAAATTGATGATCACGAATGTAACATTAGACGACGAGGGTGAATATACAGTTGACTTTGGGAATGTCTCATGTAAAACAACAGTTCAAATACAAGGTCAATATAATAGATATGAATTTTATCTCCGTTTTATTTTACACTAGTTATATAGTTGGTTTTAATCTCTATCAGGTCCTTTACATAAAAGTCGTAAATTTTATTCAATTGGTTTCGTTCAAAGCTGGTGAATCTAAGAAGCAATCAATGCATTTAATTTCATACCAATTTGCCAGATAGCAGAAAATCATTGGTGCATTTTTCTTCAATTCATTTTAGTTGAAACAGACCTTATTCACAGAAAACAGATAACAGAAGAATTGTTCAGAAATTGGATGAGAGGAGCTCTAGCGTTAAAATATTTAAAAATAGGTTTAGAGGGTTTTTCCGACAAGGCTGTTCACAAACAACATAATGATCTAATGAAAAAACTTGGAAACTCCTGCAGCACTTGTACAGAGGAAAGTCTTCTCCCACATAAACAAGATCAATGCCCACGACAAAGAAAACATCAATGTTTATGTACCAAAGGTCAGAAACAGAAGTCAAGACAAATGTGCCCAAACGGGGGATTTTGTGGCAACGTTTATAATCAAATAGTTTATAAACATCGCTTTCAAGATCCATTATTCACAAATACAGATATCCAAAAATGGAGCAGTGATGCGTGGAGTGTTGCTACATGCTTTGTTAATACTACTGGCTACAAAGGCAAACAATCAGCTAAAGATGTCGACTGCTCCGGTTTACTTAGTATGTGTATAAACAACATTGATATAGAAATGATGCTTGGAGAAGTAATCATCGATGGTAAAATAGATGCGTTTACAAAGGTACTCATCTTCACCACAGTAATCATTGTTGTTTGTAATTTCAATTGAACAGTGTATATACATGTTTATATTTAGCCTTTAGATACTTAAGTGTTACTTTTGCAGGCAAGAGAAGCAAGGAACGATATTCTTCACAGTCCAAACTATGAACTATCTGAAAATCAACTAAACACGTTTATCATAATGTTCATAGAAGTACTAGAAATCCAGGACAAACATGGTAATACACCTTTGAAAGGGGAGTCAGGCGTAGAAGAAGCATTACGTTTACTAGATATGGTAATACTCCTATTGGAATGATATAGTATAACGTTTTAGGAAGTAGTAGAAATCAGAGTCAAACATGGCAATACACCCCTGAAAGGGAACCCCGGCGTTGCACACGCATTACATTTACTAGATTTGGTAATTAACCTAAAAGAGTAATGTAGTAATTATAAAGACAAGATTTGCCGGTTTGGGATACATTTTATTGGTTCTTTATTAGAATTTGTGTGGAATAAATCGTATTTCTCTCTAAATTAAGAATACATAAATCAAATTTGTAATATTTCTTGCACATTATACTTTAGCAAATTCTTAATGTTTACTATTTGTTATTTTGCAACAGGTGTATGATATAAATAAAAAAGTACATTCAGGTCCTTTTGCATAGGTGTTTAAACATTTTATTGCCTATGTTAGTAAGAACATTATTGTGTAAAGAAGTAAATACATTATTGACTATAATAGTAAGTACAACATTTGTATTTGTTCTAATGAATCACTCTGTATCCTCTTGCGAACGTGAGCTCGTTACCTTTTGCCTTTTCACACATTTACACAGACAATTATTTGAGTATTAAAAAGATTGCAAGAATACAGGATAAAAAATGTTCAACAAAGCTTATTACATGTTAACAATTCGGCAGTGTGTTGTAAAAAGATTTAACCTGGTAAATCTAAAGTTTATTTAGACCTACCCATGTATTAATTCTTTGCTTTCAAGGCCCAATATGCATTCTGTCATTTTTGTTATGACATCATTCTTCAAATGAGTTTACGGACCGGAGTCCTATCATAAATTTCTTACAGGTGCAACAAAACCAGATTGAGATAAACCTTGAAAAGGATATGAGAGAACTAAGAGAGCATGGGATGTCTAGATTAGAAAAGAAATACCAAACAGCACAAAAACAGGCAAGTTTTTTAGCTAATGCATTTGAGTATTGTTATAACATGCTTTTACGACCGATAAAGTAAGGCAATATTAAAGTAAGGCAATGTTGATTTTCAAGTCTCATAAAATGGATATTAAGTTCAAAAGCTCTTTGGAAAATACTGTGATTCTAAAGGTGTTTAATTGTATACGAATCATTACTGAGAAAGAGATGTTATCACTTGTTTTTCTGTTAGCCATCATGCACGCTTGATTAAATAGCCTCGTTTAGATTTCTTTAACTTAAAGAATACACTGAGGCAAATATTACATTCGTGAGTAATTGTAAAGAATATAATTCTAAATGGCATGAAAGTGTTATTACGTAAATAAACTTCGTGGTCATCAACAGTTCTTACCTTCCGAATTCTATTTTAGATAATCAAAGGTAGTATTTGGACGGAGGTATATAGTGTTCCGTCAATATTATAATGGGTCTTAGAGAATTAGGAATTAAATGAAAATTACTAAAATCAATATAATTAAAATGAAGTTTCTCCTTCGTCATGTTTATGTACGATAAGCGCATGATTCAAATAATATATATAATGTAACACTTTGTAAACTTTTCTTTCTTCAGCATGAATTGAAACTTCAACTGATAGAGCAACAGATAAAAGGTTTGTCCTTAAGTTTTAATTTGAACAAATAAGAGCTTGTCCTAATTCTACTTGGCCATTAGACCATGATTTAAAATTAAACATAATTATTAACGAGATATGTAACAGTGTAGTTCAAAAATCCTGTATCCGTTTGAAAAGAATTACATTTATTCCTTTAAATTGCACAACTTCATACATTGGTTCCTTTTTATGATAGAACTGTTGGATTTGACAAAACAGTAACATTATCCATAATTGACATAAGGTTTTAAACATATGTTATACTGATATACTCGTACAAAATATATAAATAGCTACAAAGAGAAAGAAGAATTTAAAGAAAATGAAGCTACAAAGAGAATCAGATTTTGAAATGAAAATGATGTTTGAATAGACATATATCAGGAAAGAGGTTTGAGGATTTGACACCAATAAATGTTGATATAAATGAGGTCATGCAAGAAATATTTTCTTTATTTCTATAAAAATAAACAATCAAAAGAAGATCAAATTTCTTAAAAAGTATTGCTTGTAAAAGAATCATCAATTAATAATTATAGTAATTTCATCTGTGATAGAAAACATACTATATTATAGTCATCACCTTTGATAAATATTCGAGTGTTGGCAGAATAAGTAGTCTTTTCGTTATAGCGATTGGCCGATGTATCATTTGGTCTACACTGTCAGAGATAAAGTGAGCGACTAAATAGTTTCTTTTGATCCAGTGATGTGGTTTTGACCCCCGCTGTTGCTTTGACGTTAATAGCATCCGAGGTTAGCCAAAATTATCCCTTTCTGTTTCCGAAGTTATATGACCTAAACTGTGTTGACCAGTACGCCGTAAAACCAAACAAACAAACAAACAAAGCTAACAAAATATTTTATATCGGCAAATTCCAGCATTGCTTATAGTTATTTGTATTTATTTAACAGTTAACTTTTAATTAGAATAATACCTTAATTCCTGAAAAAGTGCAAGGGATTACCCGCTGGTTTGTCTTTTGTATTGTGATATTCTGACATGCTTATTCTTTACAATTTACCAAAAATTTTATTTTAAGCTTGTAATTGCTGTTTTCACATTTTTATACATGTTTTTTCTTCTTCTTGTAACTGATCGTATTTATTTTATTTTGTAAACATGCAAACTATTTTTGCATGATTATTATTATTAATTTTTTTTTATCTTATCAGTAATCAAAATTAGCCCTTTATAATCAACAGCCTTCTGTGTAGTTTTATTACTAATACATTGTTTTTTTGTGTTTGCGCTGTAATTGGCCCTTCATTTATAGGGCAGATAATTTGTACAACTTATGAAAGTAACAACCATTTTCTGAACATGAGGAATTTTTGCACTTCGATTTTGAACAACATATTTCTTAGAGGTTAATACTTAGTTCCCCTGCTCGCCATTGTGCGATAATGGCCCGACGATGTTCATAATGACACGAGGACCGCAGAACCTCGGTGTCCAATATCACCACACGGCGGGCAGGAAACAAGTATTAACGTTTTTAAAACCTACGGAATACCGTTGATGTCATCGTGGTCAGCAGATTTAATGTACTGTACGTCATTCGAAAAAAATGATGACCAGCTAAACGTATTGCACTATCGTATTATCGCCATCACATTATCGCATTGTCGCATTATCGGACCGTCGTCATCGCATTATCGCACCGTCGTATAACCACGTAGACCTTACGGTTTTCCATAAATACCTACATTTCAATATCGCCGCTTATCTTGGTTGTCGCAATTTCTAAGAAACGTACAGGTTGTCAATTTATACAAATATGTCTGTCATTCAGTTAACAAACTAGCAATTGATAGAAGGAAGGGGTGCAGACCTTTTGCACATATGCTTATAAATAAACACGAAACTTACAGAATTATAGGTACAAACAATGTGTTCATACATTTGGTTATAATAGCGGCTGGTTTCTTTTTATACACCAGTTTTTGGCAAATTCAACACATATTTCTGAGCGCTTTAAAAATGATTCAATACCAGAAATTAATCGAAATTAGGTGTGGAACTAGTTTTCCCCAAATACAAGTGCATACGATTATATATGAAATTGATATTGTATAAACGTACAGTCAGTTTTATACATGCAATAGAAATTGATAGAATGTGTATGCATATACCCAGAAATACACACCGCGGTATACCGTACCCCGGATATTGCTCGATATTATGAGGACTTTCATCCCATTTCGCGACTTTGAACGAGGAAAGAAGGTATGTTTAGTGACGATATTTAGTCATTTTGAATTTATTAGATATATATTTTGTTGAAATAAAAATACTTCGATAATTTCTCTAGTTTATAAAACCCAAAAAATGTTAAGAAATAGCTTTGAAATGTAATTAGGAGGTAAAATTCGTCTCTTTGCTCACGTGATAAATGAGCTCGGATCAGTCAAATTTGATTTTTTTGTGCATATACATCCTTAAAAGAAAAACTTGAATCGAGTGAAATGTGATAATGATGATAATGTTTATGTTGTAAATGTTCAATCAACAATAGAACCTCAGATGACAGTGCATTTTGAGAATAAATACACATGAAAGTGTACCGAGTATTGCTTTGGAGTTGCCCGTCGGTGTCACGAGCATTGCTTTTTAGTGTAACGAGTATTGGTTATCAATAAAGAGTAAATGCAAGTAGTAAACACAAAGTATTTACCACATTTAATTTTAAATATCTCTTATAGTGTACATGTATACTTATTTACACTATATGTGCAGAATATGCAGAATTCGGAGGACTGAAAAAATCTGCGAATAATCCAGATTTTCATTCCTACTCGTGAAAAATCTCAGTTTTCTGTATTTAAAATGTTCTCGTTGCTATCGAAGGATCAACCTTTCCAGAATTTGTTAATAATTATTGCATATCTTACTTTAAATAGTAAAAAAATGCATCCAAAGTGCATTAATACTGCCTCAAGATTGTCAATATTAGACGGTATTGAGCAAGTGTGCCAATATCTAATATCAACCGACTTCCTACTTTGCCAAAAATCCATATAAAGGTAACTTTCGGGCATTTTGCACCTGCACTCTAGCAACGGCAGACCGTCTGCACGTGAAATTTTGTTACGCCTTAACAATGAGTTACCGTATGACTGCCGAACTGGTACAGCTCAAAAAACCGAATAATGGTTTTTGATAAGATTATGATAAATGGCAGCAGATGCAATAAAAAGGTTATGTTCCTTATAACCTTTTACCTCATAAAGGCGTGTGTTGAAGGTTTTACACCCCACCCCTTTTGAGGCCTCAAATAGTGTAAAACATGCGCTATTTAGGCCACAAACACTGTTTTTTCGTTTGAGAAATGTTGTTCAAAAGAGTGATCACTTTTTCGGCGCCACCCCCATTAATAAGGTACATCAAGGGGGTTACACAGGGGGGATGTGCCCCCTTCTGTTTGCGGGTTTGAAGTGGGGCAGCAGCCCCTCTAATCGTCGAGAAAACTTGTTGGGGGCTAAATGGCATCAGGTCGATTTAAAGGTACCGTGTAATCAACGCCGAAAACCTTAGACTTTATCTCAAAAATTGAGAAGTTGGTGCACTTTGAAATCAGTTTTGATGGGGAAAAACAACGCAAAACTGAGATTTTTGGCAATTTTGAGACGCCCCCCCCTGTTGCCATGGTAACTGAAAATTTAAAATTGAGCATGCTATTCCACAGGCTATGGTCTAGCTAACATTTGTGCCCAGTTTGATCAGTATTGAAGCATTTTATATAGTTTCATAGCAGTTTGAACTTGTAACAGGAGGCTTAATTATAATTCAATGAAAACAGCCATTTTTCGCATTATGCTCATGCAGTAAAAGGTTAAGACGATTCCGGCATGCTTGGACGGCATAAGTCCTCGGGCCAATATTTTATGAAGTAGGTCGATAAGTTTCTTAAGGCAAACTTGCCCTGGCATCTAAATATGTTTTATTTATTCTTGTCCTTTTCAGAGATCGGTCTTCTTGATCAAAGTTTCTTGAGACATGTATTTAAAGTTTTTTATCGTCAATTTTGATGGTTCTACCCTGCTTCCGACCCTGCATACACTTTATTTCATCCATAGTGTGATTTTCAATCAAATGGGAAATTAAATCTCTGTATTTGCCAGTAGAAAAATGAACAGTAATAAAACTGAAAATGCATTGTTGAATCTGAAATATTTGAATAAATATCATTTAAACAGTACATTTTCAGAAAAATGAAATTGAATCGATAAACAGACGTGAAAAATAGACAAAAATATCGATTTTCCATACTTATGTGCTCATATTGTTTTGCAATACTCTGTACACTAAAGTTGGGCTATTTTGCAATACTCTGTACACTTAAAATCAATACTCGGTACACTTTCTTGTATCTTTTTTGGCCTGTATCTTTTTGTACTTTCACACTTTTTGCCTGAAATTTGGACAAGGCAAATATAAAAAAATTGCTCGATTCAATTTTTTAATATTGGTAATATAATAATTTCTAACGATTCTACAGTATCGCGGTCAGTATTTTCTAGTGAGCAGCGGATCGTTTAGGGGTAGTTTTATCAATTTTACAAATACCTGTAATACTTTTACGTCTTTTAGAGCTACAGAAATACCTCTAGATATAAAAAAACTCATTGAGATAAATGAAATAGCCATTAGTTTGGAAAATATCGTCGCTGAACTTACCTTCGTTCCCCGTTCAAAGTCGCGAAATGGGATGAAAGTCCTCATAATATCGAGCAATATCCGGGGTACGGTATACCGCAGTGAATCTCCGTGGGACAGAATTTCAATGACCGTTTTGTGTCTGTCAAACATGTGCATATGTATATTGAATGTCTGTTAATCTCGGGTACATGTATAACAATGTACATTCAAAAATGGCTTATACTCTTAACGTTTAGTAAACTTGGTTATAGAATTGATAAATACAGAATCCCTAAAGAAAGCCCAACACGACAAAATTGAAAATGTTGCAGGCTCGGTTTGATTGAGCCTGTTCATGGACGGTACTGGAAAGTGCAAGTTATCGTCCACGCCCCCTAGCACCGGCTTAAGCAGAATTCAACATTTAAACAAGAAATGGTAAAATTTTGAATTTAGAAACATCAGCAGATGTTTAATTATAAGCATTCTTAATGTGGAATAGATTGCCCTGATTCTATCCAGTAATGACGGATACATAATAATTATGAACTGATTTACGCTAGATCTAACGGACTTATACTTACCAAAGGCAGTCGGTGCGTGGCATGGATAGTATACATGTACATGAACACGCCCACTCATTTGTATGCCCTTGAAGGGGGCATAATATAATCGCACCGTCTTCTGCCCACTTCATTCGTGTCCGGACTGTAACTTTGTCATACATTGAGGGATATTTTTAAAATAACTTGGCACAAATGTCTACCACATCAAGACGATTTGTTGCGTCTAAGAACCACACCCCTGCCTCAAAGGTCAAAGTCACACTATCATTTTGAAATTTCACATTGTCGCAATTAGCGTAAATAGGTACACACATTCGTGTCCGGACTATCAAGACGACGTGTCGCGATTAAGAATTAAGTCTCTACCTTAAAGGTAAAGGTTACATTTTGAAATTTCATATCATTACAATGAGAATTATTAGGTTCAATTAATCGTGTCCGGGCTGTAACTTTGTCATGCATGGAAGGATTTTAAAATAACTTGGCATTAATGTCTACAACATCAAGAGGATGTGTCGCGTTCAATAATCACGTCCCTACCTTAAAGGTCAAGGTCACACTACCATATTTGAAGTTCATTTAATCACAATTAGAGTTTATTAAATAGGTACGCATAATCATGTCCGGGCTCTAACTTTGTCATGCATACAAATCTTGATCCGGATATTCACGCTGGTACCGAGCTTCGCTTAATTGTGACTATGCAAAACGGGGTACGCATCAGGTATTTCCGGGTCGGGATTTGTATACATGTAATGTGGGAAAATTTAAAAAGTTAACTGCAAATAACTAACTGAATTTTCTGTTTCAACTGTTTCCATGCACTGACATTAGTTTGTTATTAAGAAAAGATGATTTATGTTCATAATCGTCTTCTTTCGGCTCGGTCAAAGGATGTCCGACCTAGACAAAAAGTGCATTTCCGCTTTAAAACTCCATCTTTTGCCGTACCAAGCAACTGGTCTAATATTGTACATTTTCGAAAGATAAATTATTTCTGCGTAGATTGCACTTCATTTGGTGAAAATTGGTTGGTAGACAATTAACAAAGATCTCGAAGGTAAAATAAAGCCTGGTGGTGGTTTCGCTGGCGAACCTTTCTACCTTTACTATATTTATAAAGCAAATTTCCTTTGTTGTTTTATTTAAAATAAGATATTTTTAAAACATTTTAAGTGAAAAATATTTTATTAGTGAAAAGAAAAATTATAAAAACAAGTGGGCGTGGTCATGTACATGTATACTATCCAAGCCACGCACCGGCTGCCTATAATACTTACCGATGACACCGATACCTCTCAAGCGGGAGAAATCATTGTAAACGGCATCAATGAGCGTCCTATTATAATTAATAGATATAAATTACTTAATCAGGAAACAACACTGATATTCGAATAGTAATTTAAATCAAGTACATAATTACAATGAAAAAACAGTTTAAATATACACCATATATACACAACGTAAGAGGAGTTATCTAAAAAATATCTCTTGAACGTCAGCGTGTACTGTAATGAAAATTTATCAGGACTAACAATTTATGTAGAACCCCCCCCCTCGCTAAACATCGCATATTTCTTCTAGGACGTCATTTAAGTAAAACTCCTTAAAATTATGAACGTCATTTCTTTTAATTTTTGTTGATATTGCTAGAAAGCCAAACGCCGATATTGTTAACAACGGGAAAATAACGGACACGCAGAAATTAGTAAATCGCGCAATCATAAAATTTTGTTGTAATTTGGAAATGATACCTACTAAAACATTACAAACAATCAGCAGGCGGGAAGATAAAATAAAATTTCACGATCATTAGTGTCGTAAGAAATTTAGTGATGGAAATTACTTTGAGAAGCAGTAACGGTCATTGACTGCGTAACGTTGAAGCACATTTTGTACTTTATTATGACGTTGACGTCAAAATTATATTGGAGTGCGCCGCTGCGATCGACATGTGTTTATGTTACATTAAATATTGTTGTTTTATCTGAAGCTACTTACATGATTTTTTCTATGTTTATTTGTTAAGCAGTGTAAAAATTTCAAATCAATATCTCAAATATATTTTTAGCAACAAAGAAAGTCAACGAATTTTTGTATAACTCCTCGTATATACACAAATGTCATATTGAAATGTTAGCCAAGTTATTAAATGTCTATAATTAAAGTAATGTCATTAAAACTAGTATAAAAGTCCATAGAACTTTCTGCACTATGCTAGATGATTGTATAGCTAGTGTTTGTCGATACTTTTGTTTGTGATATATTTTGTATTCATAATAATAAATGGACATTGTGTCAAAATATAATTGTTTTTCTATTTATACAGCAGATGTCTTGGAATAAAACAAGTTATATCTGAAAGGTCTTACGTTGAACAGAAACGTCGTCTCAACATCAAAAGTATAAAAGGATCTTATAACGTTAGTGTACGTAATACTTTAATAAATAGCGACAACAATGATCAAGTTAAGTTCTTTATCGCTAGAATGTGTATGCTTCCTAATAGTGAAGTTCTCCTTGCTGACGTCTTGAATAACAGACTGAAGAAATTGAACAGTTCGTACAAGGTAGTAAGTCACTGTGATGTACCTGAAGATCCCTATTCTGTATGTTATATAGGCAACGATACAGCTGTTGCTAGTTTTGGAGGCAATTCCATACAGTACGTGAATGTGTCAGGTAATATAAACCTCAGACAAATAATGGAGCTAGATCATGCATGTCTCGGTCTAGCTTGTCACGGTGACACACTCTATGTAAGCAGTGTAGACACAGTTTACAAATATGACAAATACTGTAAACAAAAGCAAGTTATCTATGATTACCGTGAACATCGGCACACGTTCATCATACACCCAATTGCTATAAGTGACAATGGTGAGCGAATCTACTTCAAGACAATTGTAGGTGTAACTACAATAGACGCCAAGGGAAATCATATCAGTTCACATTTTGACGACGAGTATAACATTCGTGATATATGTATTGCTGGTGAAGGTATTGTTCTTGCATTAGATGTATCAGGCAATAATCTTCATCAGCTGGATTATACAGGAAAAAAGCATCAGACTGCAGATAGCAGGCCACTTACTGCGCGTTCTATGTGTTTCGACAGAGAAAGATGTAGACTTATTGTTTGTGGTAGTCAAGACAAGATACATGTTTACAAATGCGAATATTTGCCAAGTTAGTTAATAAAATTGTTTTGATAAACCAAGACGCATATGAAGAACGCATCGCTAATCTACTTTTGTTTATCAAATTTATAAGTTTGTATGTTTGCTTATTTCTTCAACGAGTCATTGCTTAATATTTTGATATCACACTGATGTACCTTGAATGTATTTATAGTGACATGTATATATTAGATAGCTTTTCAAAATAAAAGTTGAATAGTGACAAGTTGGGAATCCAAACAACAAGGCAGTCTTGGTTTAAGGCTTACGAATGAACTGATGATTGATTTATCCCGCATATAGCCATTGTAACTAACATGCCGACAAATTGCTAATTGAGCGTCTACATTTTGTCATATCTTAGAACCAGTTTTAAGGAAAAAAATAAATAATTGGTCATTTATTGCTCATAAAAATAACAAAACTTCATTACAATTTATCAACGGAAAAATATACAACAGAAACATTCATCGTAAAAGACCGCAGGATGAAACTATATTAAAGTCTTATTTGACTATTTCAATACTTCTCAGTAGGTCTGATCTTGCAAGCTTAATATAGCAATTTTGCGTTTTCGTTAAGGAAAAAATAAAGACCGTTTGAAAGTTGATTTTTGTTGGTGGTGGGGGTGGTTGTGTGCGTGCGCGCGAGTGTGTTTGTGTGTGCATGTGTGTGTCTGTGGTTTGAAATGTATTTTTTGTTTTACAGCAAGCACTTTGAAAATGTCAAATGATATTACTTATTATGCCTATTAAGTTATAAATAATCAAAATTTATAAGTAATAATCAATAAATAATCAAAATTGCATAGTAATACTGTTGATATTAAGGAGAAATACATGTATGTGCAAGAACTACAGTTATATCGGGATGGATAATAATATATGTACAAGGTATTATTTTTTGCATCATATTTGCATTATTTCTAAATAGCTAAATATGCGTTTGTATTAACCTTCTAATTGCATACTGATTATATCGGTCAAGGCACACAATATATTAATCTTTGAAATATTGTTGGTAAGTTCCGTGAGATGTTGGCAGTAAAGTGTGATTTGATATGATTTGTGTCTATGAAAACGATACACTCAGCATTAAATCGCAATAGGGAAAACAATGCAAAACGTGTAGTAGAATCCAAACCGCATAGGTTTATGTTTTTTTTCTGATTTTTAGGCTGGGTTTGCTTTTTATGCTGTTCATTTTTCTTAAAAAAATGTTTTTTCCCCTTAAAGGAAAATAACATTTTCTCTTTTTTAAATTTGGGATTGTTTTAAAAATTAAAATTTAATATTTATTTCGGATTTAAACAATGAAAAGGGCATTTTTAAAACCGTTTAAACCAATTCAAAACGAGTCCCTTTGTTTCTCCATATAAAAGCGTGGGGAAACGATTTTTTTTTTTAAAAAAAATAATTTTTCTGCAGAAATAAAAGAGTATGATTAAAACAACGACAACAGTAGTAATCGACCCACATTCTTTTTATACAATTGACAACTTAACTGATTGTGCTATAAAAGAATTGACGACGACGTATACTTTAAGCTGGTGTGAGTTTTCGAAACATGAGTTATTTTCTCCATATAAATTCTCGTACACTACACGGAAAGAACCGAAGTGGGATTGAAAATTCAAATGAGTGCTATAATGCATTAATAATTGACATGGCAATAAAGTCAGATTAAACATGTAGTTTAGGGATGTTGTGATTATTTCAATCCACTTTACATGCTTATTTAGAGCACGGGATACAGTTAATGGAATCAATGTAAATGTCAATGTTAAAATATAGGCATACGTATGTCGCAGGTAAAGAAAATTACCTCTACAATCCCTTAATCCCAGAATGCTTATATTCTGAATTGATGCAGAATGCCGTGACACTGTAAATTGCTGTTTGCAACATGATTTACAATAACACTGTCTTTTCAACTGCTTTACCATTAATTTGTTGTTAAAAAACGTTTCTCAATGGCGCATAAATGTTTGACCAATAGGATCGATTAAACATTTTTTTAGACAAAAATAACATTGTATTGTAAACGTTAGGTTTTGAATCTAAAACAAAATAATTTCATAATTATTTATTAGAAGAATATAATTCTTTTGTTACATGTTATTTCCTTCATATGTGACATTTTAATCCGAGCACAATAAACAGAAATGTCTTCATATTTATTTATAGTAAGGAACAGACCATTTTAATACTATGTAGGTAAGTGAAATGTTGCACGTCTTGATTGCTGAATATTGTAAGAGTGATGATTTAATGTTGCAATCGCTCAATCGGTAGAGCCGTCAGCTCTAAAAGAACCTCATTAATGGCAGAAAGGTAGTGGGTTTCAAAAATGTTTTATGTTGTTGATTTTTCCTACAGTATTTTTTTATATAAGAAACAACAGTATCATAATGTGTTTTTATTCAAACGAATTTTTATCATTACATTTTTTATTATAAATGTTTGAATATTACATTGAGATACATTAAGCAACTTTCATCAAATACTGATACGAAAAGAATGTTCAAGTAGCATCCTATTACCATTTTATCAGTACATGGCAAATCAAAGACCTTGAACGATTTTTAAAAACTGTCAACATAAATCAATCGATCTCAGTATTGTCATAACGCAACACATGGTGTAGCTCTATTGACAATTTTATTAAAATAGATTTTTTTTTCAAAACTCAAAGGATGATATAACCTTTGAGCAAGGAAAACAGTAAACTCAGTGACAATATGAACAATGGGACAGATTAATATGAAAAAACAAGAGTTGCAACGGGTTAAGTCAAAATGATTTCGAACTGATTCTTAAATTTGAATGTCTGTTATTAATTAATCATCATGATCATGCCATAATGGGAACAGTCTCGCCACTTCGCTTGTAACAATTTCTTTTTCAATCATTTACTAATCAATGATGTTTCAGGTCATTGGTGTAACCCTTCTCCAAACATGCTAATAATACATTCAATTTTGATATGTAGTTATATATCGTATACAGGACTAAAACCACAGTTTAGATAACCCAGGAAACAAAGGATTTTTGTTATTTACAGTCATCGCTTATGGATACCATTTTCTGTAGAGAAAAATGCCGATAATTAGGCATGCGTTTATTGAAAGGTCCAGAATAAGAATAAAAAGTTGCTTTATAGAAACAATCGACTACGCACCGTTACATATTCAGATATAACGTACGATCGAGTTCAGATGGCATTATCCAAGGCCGATGCTTTAATAAACATACACATTGTTAATAAACGTTCATTTTAAACGAACGAGGGCGTGATATGGCGTTAAGCAGGATAGGTTCCTTCTTTCCTTTTACTTTGGTGTTTTTGTTGTTTTGTTATTTAACATGTTTAACAAACGGCAGGTTTTGTAAAACGGAATGTGAAAATTGTGGACCACAATCTATCTTTGAAATTAAGCATTTAGATCAAAATACTGATGTAATGGATTTAAAATGTTTCGAGATACAAGTGGATTTAAATATGTAGGGCCTAGGGCATGACTACGGATTAAGTCAAAATGATTTAGAACTTGTTCTTAAATTTGAATATCTGTTATTAATTAATCATCATGATATGCCATTATGGGTTTGACTTTGTATCGATATTAAATTCTACTTCATTCACAATCTGAGATAGTTAATACTATTGTTTCAATCAAGTTCTCTGTATAATTCGGTCGGAAATACCAATTAAACAGTTTATTCTTTATCCTAAAATTATTTAGACATATCTGTTTGATAACTACGGTGATAACTGATATTCGACAGACGGTGCATTCTATAAAACGGGCTTTAAAACAAAGCAGAGAATATAATTTTACAAGGTATTTACTAATTAGGTAAATCATTATGAATTAATACGCAGGTAAGAAACTTTGGCCCCTTGACTTCTCGACCCCTTATGATATCAAGATGACTTCTAGACCCCTTATCTCATAGACCCCTTTTTACATGACTACGATCCCTAGTGGGAAGACATTTCGACCCATACATGTATATCAATTTTTGTACGTAAGCAGGCAAGTAAGATACGTTGAGAAATGAGTTTAAGCGGATGGCAAATATTTATAATATTTTCTTTACAAGATCCGACAAAATATTGAAAAAGGTAAAATAAGTTAGCATTGTTTTTTTTATTCATTTAATGTTTTTGTTACACAGCAGTTATAATGCATTTGCGATGATTGAATATTTATACATTTCTATTTAATTGATGCTATATATTGAGTTTACTAGTATGTATTTCTAAATTGCATAAAACAGGCGTATAAAAACCAATCGATCAATGACATAGTGGGTGTTATTTGTAAATAAAAACAAATTTTATGTTTTTGACTTTATATAATTTCGAGAATTATATTTACAATGTATATAATATGTAGAATTATAGTTTTACAATAATAATATATATAAAGTAAAAAATGATATAGTTTTGATAATTCACAAAATGTGTTATTTATAACGTTCACATATCGCATTTCATTTACGATTTTTTCTCTCATAATTTGAATGAAGTGTTGCCTCTACATAAATAAATATATATTTATATTAAAGGTCACATACATCAATCTTTCATGTATATGTCCGACTCATGAAAGAAATGTTTCTTTATTTACTTCATTATTCATTTATTCATTAGAAATCCATTTCTGAGACAGGTCATTTTTATCAACAGTCAATGAATACTACAAGTTATTTAAAATGTGTGTTCATTTGTTGACACTCTGTATCGCTGTAAATATTGCTATTTGTGCTTACACCAATTTATAATAGTGTTATTTTAAAAAAGGGTTATTGTGTATACAATTATAATGTAGGAAATTCAGTTCCTGATATCTTGAAAATAGTTTAGATATTGTGTATAACAAAACAATACATGTATTTTCAGCCAGTATGCAAAGATGATAGGACTAGTTGATAAAAGCTCTGACGAAATAAAAAAGAAAACATTTTTCAAAATCAGTGAAGTATTTCCTTCAATTTCAATCTATATAT